TCTCTCTCTCTCTCTCTCTCTCTCTCTCTCTCTCTCTAGCTCTGACTTCTTAAATGAATAACTCATTTGTTAAATGAATAACTCATTTTTTAAGATGATTTATTTGGAAGAGTGACATGGGGTGGGAGAGCCATCCTCTTGTTCACTCCCCAGATGGCCACAGTGGCCAAAACCAGGAGTTTGAACTCCATCCACATCTCTGATGTGAGTAGCAGAGACCCAAATATGTGAGCCATCCATCATCCACTACCTTCCCAGGTGATTGGCATGGAACTGGATTGGAAGAGGAGCAGCCAGGACTTGAACCTGCACTGGCTTATGGGTGCCCTCATTGGAAGCAGCAGCTTAACCTGCCATGCTACAGTGCTGACCCCAAAAGTTACAACTTTCTCAGACAAATTGCTTACCAGATATTAAAGTAAATGATTCCTTATTCAGTATAGCTTGACTTAACAATTCTTTGACTTAACAATAGGATGAAAGTGAAACACATTCAGTAGAAACTGAACTTCAGATTTTGAATGTTGATTTTTCCCCCCGAGCTAGCAACATGCACTCTTGTGATGCTATACTGTAGCACCTCCTAATCACTCACAGATCAGGAGGGTAAGCAGTGAGAGACTGGGGTGATTGTAATGCTAAGCTATGTTGAGAAGGTTAGATATATTGAATGCATTATTGACTTAATGAGTTTATTAGGAAGTAACCCCCTCATACATCAGGAAGTGTCTGTATAATTTCTTTATTTTCCGTTCAAAAATTCTTGCATATTTGTAAATTAAGTACTTTGGATTTGCAATTTGTTAATATTTTGATTTTTTTCTTTCAACAGTGACAGTATTTTTAAATTCATTGACACCCAAATTCTATGTGGCACTTACAGGGACATCTTCTTTGATATCAGGAGTAATATTTGTAAGTAGTTTCCATTTCCTTCCTTCATGTTTTGGTATTTTTCAAAATATGCTTTCTGTGGTTGCAATAATTATAAATATTTGTGCATCAGCATGTCCAAAATATTTCAGCATTTGAAAAAAAAAAGTCTATTCAAGCAAGTTGGGCAACACTGGAGCTTTCTCTGGGCTTATAGATATTGGCAGTATTTGCATATTAAAGGCTTATTGTATACTGTAATGGAGGAGGGGTTGGGAGTGAGTTAGCAATTCAATGCCCAAAGGGCCCAGGTTGGTAACAAAAAATGACTGAAACAGGCAGAGTAAGAATTAAATTGCTTCTTTAAAGGAGCAAAGTAATCTGGGTGATCTGGAAAGTTCATGTCCTCCCCCCCCCCCCAAATGGCTATAGCTAGTAGCTAGTTGGTGCCATGTGGACTTATGACTAGTATTACTAGATCTTCTCATTTTCCAGATGATTTCAAGAGAACCAGGATATGCTGATTTTATACAGAATTTCCCAGTATTTTAATGTTGACAGTATTGGGCAAACTCAAATTTCTGTGTCTAGAATTCTGCCTGCAGTTTTTCCAAGCCCTAATTTCCTCATCTCTAAACTGGGGATGATAATGTCCACCTTGTAAGATTTTTTTTTTTTTTAATATTTATTTATTTGAAAGTCAGAATTACACACAGAGAGAAGAAGAAGCAGAGAGAGAGAGAGAGAGGTCTTCCATTAGCTGGTTCACTCCCCAATTGGCTGCAGTAGCTGGAACTGCTGGAGCTTCTTCCAGGTCTCCCACTGGGGTGCAGGGGCCCGAGGACTTTGGGCCATCTTCCACTACTTTCCCAGGCCATAGCAGAGAGCTGGATCGGAAGTGGAGCAGCCGGGACTCGATCCAGCACCCATGTGGGATACTGGCACTGCAGGTGGCAGCTTTACCCGCTATGCTACAGTGCCAGCCCCTGTCTACTTTGTAAGATTAAGAGGACTGAATGAGAATATGCATGTAAAAGCTTCTAATATAGTAACTAGCTCAGAGTAAGCACTTCATGAATTTTGTTTGTTATTATTCTGCAAAGTTTCACAAGAAATCTGTTTAAATTTTTCCAAACAACATACCACTTTTAATTACAGTTTTATAATCCCCATTAACATCCTAAGATCCAGTGTTTCCTAGTGTACACTTTAGAAAAATATGCTACAGATAAAAATCTTGGGAAGTATTGTGCCCTGCTTAGCCAATAGATTGTTTTGTTCTTTTTTCTCATCTCTAGGTGGTGCTCTCCAGCTATAGTAGAAATAATAATATTTGTATTAGACCTTTCTTTTTTTAAACAGGGACTAACATTGACCGTTTTGTTAACATGAAATGTCATATAAGAGATTTCTTTTTCCTCTTGATTTAAAAAGAAAAGATGTTGAGAAATTCAGGATAAAAATTACATGTTCATATAAAGCTCACAATTTATTGATTCATAGTTAAGACTATTTTAGCATGTTTAGTCAATAAAATATGAAAGCATAAATAAATAAACTGTATTTAAACAGCTGATGTAGTGGAAAAAGCATTAGTTTTTGGAGCCAGAAAATGTGATTTTGAGCCTTGACTTTTGACTAATAACTTTGGGCAAGTCACATAAGTGGCCTAAATCATAATTTCCTCATAGGAGGGAGATAACTTGTATATAGGTATCTGCCTGTATGTATACAAACACACTTTATGAAGGTTCTTCAGAAAGTTCATGGAAAATTAGTGTTATGAAAAAGTTACACATGGATTTCAAAACTTTTTGCACCAAAATAAACTTACCTTATAATTCCATTTTCCACAACATGTTTGAATTACCCTGTATGTGTGTATGATATTTAAGACCATTTAAAATTTGTTACTACTCTTTATAAAACAGAATTTTAAAGGTACAAAAATTAGGAAATTCATGGGGCTGGCATTGTGGCGGATGGATAAAGCTTCTGCCTGAGACACTGGCATCTCTTATGGACACTGCTTCGTATCCTGGCTCCTCCACTTCCTATCTAGCTTCCTACTAATTGCCTGGGAAAAGCAATGAAAGCTGGCTCGAGTGGTTGGGCCCTTGCCACTCACATGGGAGACCCAGATGAAGTTCCTGGCTCCTAGCTTCAGCCTGGCCCAGAGTTGTTCATTGGAGCCATCAGGGAAGCAAACCAGTGCTCTCTCTGGCTCCCCCTCGCTCTGTAACTCTGAATTTCAAAATTGATAAATAAATCTTTAGGAAAAAAAATTAGAAAATTCAAGTAACATTTTAAAAGTTACACTGTATCATGACCTTTGCAGTACTGATGGGTTTTTATTAGAAGAGGTTGTGCTTGTAACTTCTTTCACTACTTGTATTTGTGTACACTTATGAACATGTACTATTACATATTCATATACAATGAGGTATATTTTAGAAGCGGCCTAGTATAATAGTTAGGCGCTCTGAAATCAGGCAAAGCTGAGTAAGAATCCTGTCACTTACTAGTGCAGAAACTAGAGCTGGTTACTTAAGCATAGCATATATGTCCTTGTCTCTGAAACCAGTTGTTGTGAGGGTTAAGTGACATAACGCATATGAAGAACTGGGCACCAATGCTTGACTCATAGAAAGCTAGTAGACTTGTGACTATTAGTGCTTATTATTATTATTATTAGACTTGTGACTATTAGTGCTTATTATTATTATTCTCTTGTTAAAATTACCTAAATCCTAGAAAGCCTCTGATTTCATATTTGTTCATTAAAGACTGCCTATATGTCGTATATTGAGGAGCAGCTTGTTAATGTTGCCTTTGGAATTATAGTCTTTGACAGTCTTTAGGCAGTTTGGTAAATCCAAGATTTAGCGAATATAAATCTTATCTCTTCCATCATACGAACATTTTCTGCTTGTGTGATTTCTTCTAGTTGTTTTAAAGAAATTTCATCCCATTTCTTAGTAAAACATAGGAGAGCAGCCAAACTGTGACCATATTTGGTGGTTATTAACTGCTTGTTAACTCATTAAGAGTGAACAGAGAAACCATGTTCGACTGAGCATAAAACATTAGTGCCATGATAGGGAAAATGTTGTCCCTGATTTTCTAGCACTTTCTGATGAATGTGATAGCATTTACTCAGTGGGCCACAATGTAGCATGCAGTGACTACATGTCTTTGGCACCTATGTGGCATATTTGTTTTATTTAGTGAAGTAAAAATAACATTCCTAGGTGTTTGAAAGCTCTTATTTTTTTTTTTTTGCATGTGATGCACTTTGTATTCATAGTAAAATATTTTTTTAAATATTGTAATCTCTTAAGTAGTTGTGAATTTTTTTAATAAATGCAGTATATTTTTTATAAGATTATTTATTTGAGAGGCAAAGTTAGAGGGAGAGATAGACAGAAAGGTCTTCCATCTGCTGATTCAATCTCAAATAGCCACAACGGCTGGAGCTGCGCTGATCTGAAGCCAGGAGCCAGGAACTTCTTCTGGGTCTCACACATGGGTGCAGGGGCCAAAGCACTTGGGCCATCTTCCACTACTTTCCCAGGCCATAGCACAGTTGGATCAGAAGTGGAACAGCCGGGACTTGAACTGGAGCCCATCTGGGATGCCAGTGCCACAGGCTGAGACTTAACAAACTATGCCATAGCACCATCCCCTTGTTTGTTCTTTAAATGCAGTGTATTTGGTAGAAGAGTAGTTTGTAAGTTGATTTTTTTTTTTTTTTTTTTGACAGGCAGAGTGGATAGTGAGAGACAGAGAGAAAGGTCTTCCTTTTGCCGTTGGTTCACCCTCCAATGGCCGCCATGGCTGGTGCGCTGCGGCCGGCGCACTGCGCCGATCTGAAGGCAAGAACCAGGTGCTTCTGGTCTCTCATGGGGTGCAGGGCCCAACCACTTGGGCCATCCTCCACTGCCTTCCCAGGCCACAGCAGAGAGCTGGCCTGGAAGAGGGGCAACTGGGAAAGAATCCGGCGCCCTGACCGGGACTAGAACCCGGTGTGCCGGCACCACAAGGCGGAGGATTAACCTATTGAGCCATGGCGCCAGCCTGTAAGTTGATTTTTAAGGGAAATTGTCCATAAATAATAGGAGGAAGATATTGAAGTGGTTTTATAGTCAAAGGTTAGGAAACTAGTTACTTGAAATTGTTCCAATACGCAATTTTAAACTGAAAGCTCTTGATTCATTCATTCAACAAATATTTGTAGAGAACCTTTTATAAATAAGACATTTTTCTGGATGTTGGGGATACCATGGTGAGCAGGAAAAAAAAAAAAAAGATTGTAGCCTGATGGAATTCAGCCTAGAAAGTGATTACGGACATCAATTCATTCATTTGAGATTTTTTTTTTAAGTACCTGCTGTATATCACACAGTATTTCTAGGCACTGGACTTATAGCAGTGAACAAACAAAAAAAAATCATGTTCTCATGGAGATTAATTATATTGGGGTATAGATAGTAGATGATACATAAGTAAAGCAAATAGTATGTTCTTGCTAGTTAGTGAGAAGTGCTAAGGGGAAAAAGTGAAGCAGAAAAAGCATATAAAGTGTCAGAGAAGAGGGTGGGAATTATAGCTGGGGTAGCAAGGAAAGGCCCCACCGAAATGGTGATTTTTTGTTTATGGAAAGACTCAAAGGAAAAGAGGAAGCAGGCTGTGCTGCATGTTACTTCTACCTGAAGAGAGGAGGATATACTTAGAGATTTGAGGAATGGCACCAATCATCAGTGGAAAGATTGCTGTTCTCTGAAAGGAAAACACAAGATGCAGTGGAAGTACATGACACTGCTCTACCTGTCCTGTTTTCTGGAATCAGAAAAGTTCTCTGAGGAAGTGTCATTTAACCTGAAACCCAGAGGGGGTTGAGGAGGTTTGAGTGTATAGATATGAAAATCTCTGCTAATTCAGCACGGAGAGCTTCTTTGGGTTCCGCTCTGTATAGAAGTGGTAAACCATGGAAATGGGAAGAATGTCCTGATGTTTTTGGTAAAGATTTATTTATTTAGGGACCAGCACTGTGGCTTAGTGGGTAAAGCCACTGCCTGCAGTGCCGGCATCCTATATGGGCATGGGTGCAAGTGCCGGCTGCTCCTCTTCTGATCTAGCTCTCTGCTATGGCCTGGGAAAGCAGTAGAAGATGACCCAAGTGCTTGGGCCTCTGCACCCGCATGGGAGATCTAGAGGAAGCTCCTAGCTTTGGACTGGTGCAGCTCCAGCCATTGCAGCCATCTGTGGAATGAACCAAGGGATGGAAGACTCTCTCTTCCTCATCTTCTGCTGCTTTCCCAGGCACATTAGCAGAGAGCAGCTGAGACTTGAACTGGCACCCATATGGGATGCCAGCACCACAGCTGTTGGCCCCAAATGTCCCAGTTTTTAAGTGGTCCAATATGGGAATCAATTTGACTATTAACTTAAATTCGTAATATTGCCAAACACTGGAGTAGTGCTTTTTGGGTCAAAAAACACTTTTATATACTTAAAAAATATTATTTATTTATTTGAAAGGCAGAGTGACAGAGAAAGACAGGAAGAGGCAGACACAAAGAGAGATCTTCTATCCCCTGATCCTCCAAATACTGCAATGGCCAGGGCTGGGCCAGGCTGAAGCCAGGAGCCAGGAGCTTCATCCTGGTCCCCATGAGGGGAGCAAGGTCCCAAGCACTTGGGCCATCTTCCATAACTTTTCCAGGTACATTAGCAGGGAGCTGGATTGGAAGTGAAGAAGCCTAGACTCAAACCGGTGCTCATTATGGGATGTGGGCCTTGCAGGCTGTGCCACAGCCCAGGCCTCTTCTTTTTAATAGCCACATTTAACAGATGAGGACAGTGAGGCACCATGTTGTTGGAGGTCAAGTGACCTGCACACAGCACACAGCTAATAAATGGCTGATTTGGGAGTCAAATGTGGGTATTCTGATCTTAGTGTAGTACTTAATTCACTATGCTAGTCGTTTTAAAATCCTTTTAATCATGCTACAGATAGAATAAAATGACATTATAGCAGTTAAGTACTTATTGTTTGTAATGCTTGATTACAAATGCATAGTTTTGCCTAAGCATATCTAAATTTCATCACAAAATATATTAAAAAAAGTATTTCACTTTTACATGGGTTATTGGGGAATCTTATTTATTTTTCTTTGGAAATACACTTAAAATTCTGAATTGAATATAATGTCGTAAGAGAATGTTTGAACTTAAACTCGCATATCTGCTGATCAATTCCATTTTAAGTGAAGGATGTTTTCTGTTTGTCACAGATATTTGAGTGGTGGTACTTCCATAAGCATGGCACGTCTTTTATCGAGCAAGTGTCTGTAAGCCATTTGAGACCACTGATGGGAGGAACAGAGAGCAGCATTTCGGAGCCAGTTTCTCTTTCCAGTAACAGACAAAGTGAAGCCGGCAGACAGAATTTGTCAGGTGACTACCTTTCTAATATGTTTTCAGAGCTGTGTAATTAAGACTGAGTTTGACCGTGAGAGAGAGAAAACTCAAAACCAGAGCACTGTGGTATGAATGTTTGTACATTTCCCAAAATTCATTTGTGGAAACGTAATCACCAATGTGATGGCACTAGGAAGAGGAGGCTTTAGAAGATGATGGGTTGTAAAGACAGAATCTCTATGAATGGGATTAGGTCTGTTGTAAAAGAGACCCCAGAGAATTGCTTGCCTTTTCTGAGGACACAGTGAGAAGGCACCATTTGTGAACTAGAAAGCAGGTCCTTCCTGGACACCAAATCTGCTGCAACTTGATCATGGACTTCCCAGCTTATACAACTGTAAGAAGTAAATTTATGTTGTTTATAAGCTAGCAGTTTATGATATTTTGTTATAACCATCCAAATAGACTAATACACAGAGCTTTCATATAAATATCTGTATCCATGGCTGGTATGGAGAGTGATGATCATCAGAGACCCAGATCCCTTCTATTTTGTTAGCCTGACATCTCCAAATGCAGTTTTTACCTATAGTCCCAGATAGTTGCTGTAGATTTAGCCTTCATATCCACATTCCAAATGGCAGGATGGAGAAAAGACTAGAATATCCCTTTTTCCCTACCCTACCCCACAGTGGGCCAGAATACTATCCAGAAATGTTACATACTGTTTCAGCTTACTTTCTACCGGTCAGACTTTTGTCAAATGGCCACTATAGCCATAAGGGAGACTGAAAGTTACAATCCTTTTCTCAGTGTATATGCTCATCAAATAATCAGGGGATTTTATTACTGATAAAGTAGAGATCAGAGATAATTAGCTTGAGTGCCAACAGACCAAAGTAGGAAAAATGCTGTTTATTTTCAATCTACAAGTCCTTCACAAAGGCATTAAAATCTCAGTCCTTCATGTATGAATATTCCATTGTCATCCTTTAATTGTAGACATATCTTCTATATGTATCCATTGATAGTAAGTATTTTTAATGGTATACAATTAAGAAAGTAAATTTTTCAAAGCCAAATAAAATTTATGTTTTTTGGATTATTGTTCTTTTCATTTGGTATAGGTAATAATGATACATGAATAATACAAAGGAGTTTGTTCCATAAGATTGCCATAATATCTCATTTGTTCTATAAAACCAAGCCCTGGGGTTTTGCTAGTTTAGTGGAAAAATACTACTTGAGTGCAGTTGCTGGTGGTTTTTAGGTGTGGCCAGGCAAAGTCCCTGAGGAAGTACCATTTAAGCAGAGTCCTGAAGCATGACCAGGAATAGTGAGGATAGGATTGGCAGCTAATCAAGAACACAGGAAGGAATAATTTTCTTTCCCTGTCTCCTTTCTCCCCTTTCATGAAATAATCCTTTAAGGGGCTGGTGCTGTGGTGCAGTAGGTTAATCCTCCACCTGCAGTGCCGGCATCCCATATGGGTGCCAGTTCTAGTCCCGGCGGCTCCTCTTCCAAGCCAGCTCTCTGCTGTGGCCTGGAAAAGCAGTGGAAGATGGCCCAAGTGCTTAGGCCCCTGCATCCACATAGGAGGTCAGGAAGAAGCATCGGCCTCCTGGCTTCGGATCGGCACAGCTCCGGCCATAGCGGCCATTTGGGGAGTGAACCAATGGAAAGGAAAACCTTTCTTTGTGTCTCTCCCTCTCACTGTCTGTAACTCTACCTCTCAAATAAATAAAAATCTTTAAAAAAATCCTTTAACTCCATAGCAACAGGACATATTAAAATGAATATGACATAAATCTATCCTCAAGCTCAGAGTAGAGTATGTAAGTAGTAACAACATGGTGAGTATCGTGCTACAGCAGGTTAGGTTGCTATTGGAGTGCCTGTTATTGAGTTCCATCTCTGCTCCAAATCCAACTTTCGGTTGGTGCACACCTAGGAAGGCAGAATGATGACTCAAGAGCTTAGGTCCCCGCCACCCGCGTGGGAGACTCAGATGGAGTACCTGGCTCCTGGTTTGGCTCTTATATTTTTTTTTTTTTTTTGACAGGCAGAGTGGACAATGAGAGAGAGAGACAGAGAGAAAGGTCTTCCTTTGCTGTTGGTTCACCCTCCAATGGCCGCCGCGGCCAGCGCGCTGCGGCCGGCACACCGCGCTGATCCGATGGCAGGAGCCAGGAGCCAGGTGCTTCTCCTGGTCTCTCATGGGGTGCAGGGCCCAAGCACCTGGGCCATCCTCCACTGCACTCCCTGGCCACAGCAGAGAGCTGGCCTGGAAGAGGGGCAACTGGGAAAGAATCCGGCGCCCCGACCGGGACTAGAACCCGGTGTGCCGGCGCCGCTAGGCGGAGGATTAGCCTAGTGAGCTGTGGCGCCGGCCGGCTCCTGGTTTTGGCCTGACCTTGCCCTGGTTGTTTTGGGTATTTAGGGGAATAAACCAGCAGATGAAAGATCTCTCTCATTCCTTCTCTCTCTCTCTCAAATAAAGTTTAAAAAATAACAGTAATGTGTTTTATGATTCTATTCCTTATTGTAAGACTGAATATACTATTTGTAACAAGAGTGAAGATAACCTTCAGGATATTCTGATTTGGTAGAGGATGTGGATATACAAACTGACAGCAAGAGTGTGGTTAGGAGGTGATATAGATGGTGTGTAAGATGCTATGGAGACAGAACAGAGGGAGTGGTCAGCTGTTCTTTGAAGAAGGACCACAAATTTTTTTACAGAGGAGATGCTTGAATTAGACCTCAAAAGTGAGTCAGAGTCCCTTTTTATTTAACTTTTTCTCCTTGGGTAATTTCATTTTATTTTATAATATCTATAATAGACATACTCATGTATACTTGGAAAACCAATTTTAAATTTCTACTCCCAAACTGTCTTTTAAGTTCTATCTAGACCCACATTTCTAACTTTTGCTAGAAATCTTCATCTTTGATGACCAGGGTGAAACTAATTATCTTCTTTTAATAGTTCTTTTTAGTTAATCCTAAATTTGTTAATGGTATTCACTACCCCTACCAGAAACTTTTGTTACAGTTTCTTTTATTTCCTCTTCCCTTTCCAAACAATTAACCCCTAAATTACATTGGTCCCCACTGAAAAATTATCTTGACTATATCCTTCCTTTTTTTTTTTAATATTCACTGCCTTATATCTAGGCCTTTGACATCTCTATCCAAGGCTATCCTAACTAGTTTCCTTTCCTCTGATACTTGTAGTTCATCTTCTCCCCTTATTATGCAAAAGCAAAAAATTTACATAGATTGCTGACAGTGTCAGAGTGCCTTCGTTTATATGTGGATTATATTCATCAATATTTGTCATAGTAGAAATTAAAGCAGAATTTTAAAAGTATTATTTTAAAAATAGCAGCATACCTGTTATATAACATATTGCTATAGACTTAATTGTTTCCCCCAGAATTTATATGTTGAAAGTTGAAAATTTAACTTCTATTGTTACCAAATTGCAAGTAGAACTTTTTGGAAGTAATTAAGATTAAATGTGATCACAAGGGTGGGGTCATTTGTGGCTGCACTCTCATCAGCTGGTTCACTCTGCAAATCCCAGCAATGGTTGGGACTGGGCCATGCCAAAGCCAGGAGCTAGGAACTCAATCTCTTGAGCCATCACCTGCTGTCTCCCATAATCTGCATCAGCAGGAAGCTAGCAGGGGCTGGGTCTGTGGATCCAACCCACACATACCAATGTGGGACACAGGCATCTAACCTAGCATCTTACCCACTAGGCTAATTATTCACATTGGGTTCTAATATGATAGAAGAGGAAGTGAGAGAGATCGTTTACCTTCTCCACTGTATGAGGACACAGCAAGAAGACTGCTGTCCACAAGACAGAAGAGAATTCTCATCAGAACCCATGCATGCTGTCACCCTGATCTTGGACTTCCAACCTCCAGATTATGAGAAAATAAATTTCTGTTGTTTGGACCACCCAGTGTGTAATGCTTTGTTATGATAGCTTGAGCTGACCAATTTGGTGCATATAAGTGAGGTGCTGTTGTAACAAATACCTATATATGTAGAAATGGCTTTGGAACTGGGTAATGGGTAAATATGGGAAAGACTTTTGAAGTGCATGGTAGAAACAGACATTAAGAGCAATTCTGGTGATTTCATAAATGGAAATGAGGAGTATGTTAACTGAAAGAAATGGGATCTTTATTATAAAGTGGAACAGAACTTAGCTGAACTGTGTTGTAGAATTTTGAGGAAAGTACCACTTGACAGCAATGAAACTGGATATTTAACTGAGGAGATTTCTAAGCAAAAGGTTTCAGGAGCAACTTCCTTCCTACTAACTGTTTACAGTGACATGTACAAGAAGAAAGATGAATTGAAGAAAAAATTATAAAGCAAAATGGAACCAGAACTTGAAGATTTGGAAAATTCTCAGGCTATACATATTGTAAAACATGAGAAAACTTGTTCTTAAAAGAACACAAAGAGGGGTTGGCATTGTGATATAGCAGATAAAGCTGCCGCCTGCGATGCTGGCATCCCATCTTCGCATCATTGGCTGTAGTCTAGGCTGTTCCACTTCCAATCCAGCTCCCTGTTAATATGCCTGGAAAAGCAGCGGAGGATGGCCCAAGTCCCTGGGCCCCTGCATCTACATGGGAGACCTGGAAGAAGCTCCTGGCTCTTGGCTTTACCCTGGCCCAGCCCTGGCCATTGTGGCCATTTGGGGAGTGAGCCAGCAGATGAAAGATCTCTCTTGTTCTCTAATTCTGCCTTTCAAATAAATAAATAAATCTTAGAAAGAGAGAGAACATACAAAGGGCATGACTGAACAGCCATTTGAGATAATGTGTGCAATTCTGGGACTTAATTAGCCATCTCATCAGGAACCAGGGATGGAGATAGGTTTATACCAGCCAAGATACTGCCAGTTAGAATTCAAAAACAGAAAAAATGGGCCAGAGTGAAGAAAGGGTGTTAAACTTCTTAGATGCTACAGGATTGGACAGTTCTATAGATTATTTAGCTGCAAATGT